GGTCATATTTTCGAACTTGGTTTAGACCAGAAATTCATTTGTGCGTTTTTTTTTTTTTTTTTGTTGTTGTTCTTTGCCAAGCTAGTTTTAAAATGTTTAAAGGACCACTATAGTGCCCTGAGGGTGGTCCCACTCCCATGGCGCTGAAGGGAGAGGAAGGGGTTATTTTTTTTTTTTCAGCGCTGGGCTCCCTCGGCACTGGGGACTCTCCTCCCTCTTCTGACGTCCCTGGCTGCATGCGCGGCAAGAGATGCGCGCACATTCAGCCAGTCCATAGGAAAGCATTCTCAATGCTTTCCTATGGACGCTGGCGTCTTCTCACTGTGAAAATCACAGTGGGAAGCGCCTCTAGCGGCTGTCAATGAGACAGCCACTACAGGCTGGATTAACAATAAAGTAAACATAGCAGTTTCTCTGAAACTGCTATGTTTACAGCAGAAAGGGTTAATCCTAGGTGGACCTGGCACCCAGACACCTTCATTAAGCTGAAGTGGTCTGGGTGCTTATAGTGGTCCTTTAAAAAGAACACTCTATCGCCTTAGTCACTGTTTAGGTGACCGGGCGAAGCTCTATCTCTTTGCTTGAGGTCATTAAACAATTCCCATAGAAAAGCACTGGGGGACTGTTGCACATGAGCGGAAAAACTCTGTGATAGCCAGATGGTCTCTGAGCCCATTTAATTGACAGTGGCGTTTTTACGCTTTCACAGAACAATTTCTAGTGGTTGTAAGTATGACCGAGGCAGGTTAACCTTGCGGTTCCCTTAAAATGTCATGGTTTTTGGCTTCAGGATTAAAACATGGCAACCAGACCAATTCAGTGATATTAAAGGAACCCTATAGTCACCTAAACCACTTTAGCTTAATGAAGCAGTTTTAGTGTATAGATCATGCATCTCATGTTTCACTGCCCTTTGGGAGTTAAATCACTTTGTTTCTGTTTATGCAGCCCTGATCACACCTCCCCTGGATCTGATTGACAGAGCCTCCACAAAACAAAAAATGGTTTCACTTTCAATCAGATGTAAATTACCTTAAATGATTTTATCTTCTCCTCTGTAAATTGAACTTCTATCACATACAGGAGGCTCTTGCAGGGTCTAGCAAGCTATTAACATAGCAGCGGATTAGAAAATCTAAATTTATACAGAACTTGCAACAAAGGAAGGATAAACATTAGATCTCACTATACAGTGTGCGTGTGTGCGTGTGTGCGTGTGTGTGTGTGTGTGTGTATATATATATTTATATTTATATTTTTATTTATTTATTTTTGGAAGGCATGCATTGAGGTGTGACTAGGGTGCATAAACAAAGTTATTCAACTCCTAAATGGCAGGTAACTGAGCAGTGAGGCTGCAGGGGCATGATCTATACACTAAAACGGTTTCATAAAGCTAAAGTTGTTTTAGTCACTATAGTGTCCTTTCAAGTGATCTGGGTGCCTATAGTGTCCCTTTAAATGTGACCATTTTGAGTCTGTCAGTTATTTGCTGTACTTTTTTGGTATGTATGTATGTCTCTGTAAATTTGATCTCTCCCTCACACTGTCGTCGTCCTTGGTGTGTTACTACTGTATCTATGCCAGCTTCTCAAAACAAAAATATAAAAAATAATTATGTGCAGTTCTGCACATTAAGCATAGTCTCTTCTAATTCCAGTAATGTTGAATTCCTAAATGGGCATGTTGCACTGCTAACCTCTAGAAGACTTTCCCTGTTTTTAAATCTCCATATTGGGAAGATTGACTAAGCCTTATCCATAATCTCCAATTCAAGTTAATAAGAAGCAAAATTTTTGACCACTTCATTTCATGTGAGCAGTCTCTCTCCTCAATTTGTATTTAAGGCAATAAAAAAAAAAAAAAACACTGTTGGAAATAAAACTGCGCAAGCTTCCTGAGTTACTTGCATGACAAACATCGCACAAAGATTTTTGTATCAAAAAAAAAAACTGCCAAAAAAAGTCTCTCTTCTGTTGTATATTATACATGGTGGGTGCATTCTTGTCCCTCCTGCTGTGGCAAACGACATGTTTTAAAACTGATTCAGGATAGGTTAAGACTTGTCAATTTGTGGTTAATGGAGAAGGGGGGGGGGGGGAATCCTCTTTGGTAAAATGGAAAAAAAATTTGTTCAAAATAAATGAGTTGGGGCTGAAGAAAACTTTGCTGTTTAGTGAAAGTTCCTGAGTAATAAAGGCAGGGTTGGGCCTTCACGTGCAGTGTCCTAGTTGGTCTCATGCACAATAACACAGTGACCGTAAAGATGGGGGTGTGTTCTAATCAGAACTCTGTATGGGTTACATTAATAATCCTTTGTCCATACCCAGGACTCTGCTAAGTGTTGGTGCAGGTTGAGACTGCATTCAGAGTTTTCAGGTGTTCTGTCCTGCCCCAGTTTGCTGTGTAAACACATCTCCTGCAAGGATCGATTTCAGCATTGTGTGCAAAGAGGATAGAGTTTCTTTTTTTTTTTTTTTTTTTTTTTTGTGGCAACTAAATGCAATTGTCCCCCTGCTCAGAAAACGAAACACCTGCCCAGCTTAGAAAGGTTCATTATTGCAGAAATACAGGCTGGGTTCTATTTATGGTCCTCCAAAGTTTGCTGTCTGTGCATGTGAACACTGCCCTGAGACATTGCATGATGTTCATTACTCTTCTGGCAGTAAAGTGCATCCATTTTGGGGCCTTATTCACTAAATTGTTAACGGTCACTTGACATATGATTGCTGCTTAAACGGATAATCTGTGCACTTCTACCCCTGCAGCGCATGAATCTCCTGGTCCAAATTGGACAGTAGTTTGTGCCTGGAGTAATAGTCCTTTAAATCTATTTTGTATGAAGCCACTATTGGGCATTGGCATTTTGAAAACCTAAACCATGACGTTTCTTAGAAAAGGCGCTGTGGTCCTCTTGGACAGCCCAGAACATGTGAATATACATACATGGAGAGTGGTGATCCATGCAATATTTCTTGTTCATTATGGGGCATAATTGCACAATCTGTGTAGTGCCATAATAGTGTGCATAACTTAATTATATTTTGTCTGTATATTTATCTTGGACAGACTTTCCTAGCGATTTAGTACATGCTAAACAATTACTAATGCCTGTGATTGCTGACTTGTGGGCCTTCTTAGCTCTGTATACTTGCTGTTCTGTGTAAATTACAGAGAGGTAATAAAGTATAATCCCCCTACCCTGG